AGCACGTGGTATGGACTCCACCTCAACGGGTGTACTACTAGGATCAGACTCAGAATCAGGAACTGACTTAACCAGACAAAGAAACTCGGATTCATTGAAAACAACGTTTCTACTCACCACAACTTTGAAACCTACCTGGTTCCTATCCCAAACCCTGTACCCCTTCACACCCTCGGGATAACCTAGGAAGACTCCTTTCTTAGACCTAGGATCCAACTTGTCACCTTGTTGGTGCACATACGCTGCACACCCAAACACTCTAAGATTAGACAAATCAAGGGGTTTGTTTGAAAAAACAGATTCAGGGCACTTCCCACCCAAGGGAACGGAAGGAGACCGGTTAATCAAGTAGACAGCAGTGTTAACTGCTTCACCCCAAAACTTTTTAGACAAACCGGCGGTGGCAAGCATACTCCTAACCTTATCTAGAACAGTCCTATTCATCCTCTCGGCTATCCCATTTTGTTGGGGAGTATAGGGCACAGTTTTGTGCCTTCTAATCCCACAATCAACACACAGTTGGTCCATATCCTTATTGCAAAACTCTAGACCATTATCTGTCCTAAGGGTTTTGACCTTCTTACCAGTTTGATTTTCTACAAGGTTTTTCCACTCCCTAAACTTCACAAAGACATCGGACTTATGCTCAAGGAGACGGACCCACACCTTCCTAGAAAAATCATCAATGATGGACAGAAAATATCTCTTACCCCCGTGAGTAGAGACACTAGCAGGACCCCACACATCAGCATGAACATACTCTAACACAGAGGTACACTTAGTAGGATTAGGATATGAGGAGGAGGGGAATGTAACCTTATGCTGCTTGCCTAACACACAAGATTCACAGAAGGGGATGGGGGACACAGAATCCTTACCAAAACAACCAGATTTATGCAAAATCTCTAAACCCCTATTACTCATGTGTCCTAATCTATTATGCCACAAAGCAGATTTATCAGAACTAACAACATGAGCAGAATCACAGAAAGGCTGAGCATGGCACACATACAAGTTATTCACCTTTTTTGCCTTAAACAAAACAAGGGAATTTTTCAAAATTTTCATGCACCCATTACCCCATTTACCCTCTAACCCACTACCCTCAAAAGCAGCAACAGAAAACAAGTTATGACGCAAATCAGGAACATGCCTCACATTTTTCATAGTAAACACAGTCCCATTATCAAACTTCAAGCATACATCACCCACCCCATGAATTTTGCATTTCTTATTATCAGCAAGAGACACAAAACCATCATTGCAAGAATAATAAGAAGAAAACAGGGATCTAAAAGGTGTCATATGATAAGTACAACCAGAGTCAATCAACCACTCATTTTCAGTCATGCTACTCAACACAGAATTGGCAGAATCACAAATCATAAAAACTTCTTCATGCAAGTTATTATCATCTACCACATTAGCATGTTCAGACTTTTTCGGATGGGGACAATCCTTAATGAAGTGACTAGAATTACCACAATTATAGCACACTCTCTTCTTAGACTTACCTCTCTTCTTCCCCGGGTCATTGTTTTTGTTCTTATCGTTGTTGCCCTTCTTATGGTTTCTAGATCTACTCTTAGACATACCCCTCACAAACAACGCTTCACCTGAGTCCCTAGACTGACTGTTACTACCCCTCGAGTGTCTAAGGTCTAACTCCTTACTCCTTAATCCATTAACGACTACATCCAACGAGATATCATCTCTACCATACTTTATGGCAGATTTGACGTCATTGTAAGAGTCGGGGATGGCATTAAGTAACACTATGGGTGTGTAGTCATCTATGTGTTTATCACCAGCTTGCTTAATATTCTGAATAAGCTTGTTAAACACATCTAGGTTCTCATCTATGTCCTTAGACAGGTCAAGCCTAAATCTAAAGAACTTCTCAAGCAAAAACAATTTACCAGGCAAAGAAGTATCGGTATACGTCTTATCTAACTTGTCCCACAAAGCCTTTGCAGAATCTATAATACCCACCTTCCTGAGTACTGAATCAGAAAGGTTCAGGTATATAGAGGAACAAGCAGTTTCATTCATTTCATCGCGCTTAGCAGCATCCTCAGAGTCTAAATAGAGACCAGTCACTGCTCTATAGACTTTCTGTTGGATCAACACACATTTGATTTTCTGTTTCCAGATATCAAAATCTGTCTTTCCGTTAAATGGAAGCATGCCATATTGATTGACAGCCATATTAACCGGAAAGCAAGCACAACACACAAGAGAGTAAATAAAAAAATTATCAAGCAAAGAACAGTACGAAGCAACTAGCACGAACAAGCCGAGACGACCAATGAACACAAAGCTCGGGTACAATCTCCTTGTTCTTTCGTACCGTACGAAGCAACTAGCACGAACTAGCCGAGAAGACCAATGAACGCAAGGCTCAGGTACAATCTCCTTGTTCTTTCGTACAAGCAAGATAAAATTTTTATTTACTCAACAGACAGATAAATGATTAATTATAACCTATAGGGCTATCAATTGTACGAAGCAACTAGCACGAACAAGCCGAGAAGACCAATGAACACAAAGCTCGGGGTACAATCTCCTTGTTCTTTCGTACAAGCACAAATAGGCTAGAATTAAATCAACAAGCAAAGAAACTGGATTTAAAACTAATCCGGACAGAAATATTCCCAACTTCGGACAACAAGTATCCAAACAAATATTCTTAACCGGAGAGTTTATCCACGAATCAAACAACAGAAAAATAAAAAAAATAATAAAAATAATCCAACACGTGATTAAATTTAAACCGGAAGAAATATTCACAACTTTGGACAACGAGTATCCAAACAAAATATTCTTCACCGGAAAATTAATTCACGATTCAACAAGTAATCACAATTCAACTAACAAGTAAATAGCAATTCAACTTGAAATTAAAAAGAATGAACTACGAATAAAAATCACACAAAGGATTAGTAAACGTACCTGGGGCCGGGCACAGCCGGCTTCCAAGACCACGCAGGTCAGCAGCGGGGGAGCGGGGGGGGGGGGGGGGGGGAAGAAAAAATCCGGTGGCACTCCGGTACACCAAGGATGTTAAACGCCAATTTACCTGAGCGGGGCCCGAGGTTGGGTTACCCGACTTACCATAGGCAGCGTGGGCTGCTGTAGGGCTCGGTGGCAGAATCTGGATGGCGGCAGCGACACCCCCTGGCGGCAGCAGCAGTCTGGTCCGACAGAGGCACTCTTGGACTCCGGCAGAAGACTGTTTCTGGTCGCTGGAGCTTCTGGACAGCAGTTGGACTCCGGCAGGTGGTCTGGACAGCTCCGGCGACTTCTGGGAGGCAGCGTACGGCGGTGACGCGGCGGCAGACGGCGGCAGGAGGCTCCCCTGGCTCTGATACCACTGTAAGTTTGATATCCAGCTCAGGTCTCGTCTATTTCACCCACAAAGGATGAACTTCACACACTAGGATCACAAGAAGGAGAAAGGGGCGTCAGCCAGCGGGCTATTTCCGGCCAATTCACCTAGGGTTCCACGGAGGAGGTAAAGGTGCGAATCAGAGAGCAAGGGATTCGGCCAGACCAACCATTCGGCAGAGAAGAAGAATTGATTATATAGGCAAGGCTCAAAAGCAAAGATGGTAACACTTACCATACAAGGTGATATCACTGTAATGTCGCACAAGAGCACCGCGATGGAAAGAATCGCAGGGAGAAAATCAGAGTGATGCGAACGGTTTGGAAACAGCTGGGCTTATGGGTCGGGTACACCATAGTAAATTGGGCTTAAGGAAAAAATAGCTGGGCCAATACCTAACAATGCTTGTGCAATTTTACAACTTAATTAACATGGTTTAAATCTTAGCTCTCAAAGTTCAACTATAAAATTAAATTAGAACTACGGAGTAATATTTAATCTAGAATGAAGAAGAACAATGACGATTTCTATTATATTCAATATTTAACAATTTGATGATATTCTTTTTTATATTTTCACATGAACTTAGTAAATTAAAGATAATATTTATCCCGGCCCGTACGTCATTGTTTTGCTAAACTTTTCTTAGTTGTGTTGCACTATTTGTGTATTTGTGAATTTTAGTACTACGTATGCAATTTCTTGTATTTATATCAACATTTCATATGAGTTGGTTGATGTGATGATATCTACTAATTGCAAGATTTGTTCAAAAATTTTAGCATGTGTTTGACATTGTACCGTACCGTTAAAAGCCCCACAAATACATTAAGGGAGTGTTTGCAATCACTTAAAAAAAGCACTTCTCAGCTTTTGGCTTAAAAAAGCACTTATTTACCAAACACTACCAATTTTAACTTTTTCTCGGCTTGCGTGTGAAAAGTGTTTTCCCCTTTCTATTACACAAAAAACACTTATTTTACCAAACACTATCAACTTTTACTTTTCAAAATCACTTTTTTCTCTATCAACTTTTCCTACTAATCATTTTTTCTTTACATCTCCAAAAGTGCTTTTATTTAAGCAGAAGCAGTTGCAAACACTCCCTAAGAGTTTTACTAATTTACCGGACCGTTCCGGACTACGCTCACCCCTAAAATTTCTTAGTCAAAATCAATGATTCATTAAGCATTTGCATTGAAAACAAGTATTGTGCTCACACATTATTTTCGGGGTGAGTTTATACTTATTGATTAGTAGTATTATATTGAAATTATAAATCATTTGTAAACTTTGTGAATGTATTTAATTATGAAATTATAAATATTTTATAGTATTTGAATTTCGTATAATAATGTTAGTCTTATAAAGTTTATATTGATCTATTTTGCTTGGGTTAATAAGTTTGGACGGCTGGTTTAGAAATTACAAAATCAAAGTTTGAATCGAAATAAAAGCTTACTTTTTACAAGTGATTTTCAGCAATTTGGGTCAAAATGTTCACATTCGAACAATAGTAAAGTTGCAGTATAATACCAGGTGTAAAAACACCTATATAAGATCCACAATTCATAAATACGGGTTCGTTATACAATTTTGAGAGCAAACTCAACGTCTTTGTGCCAAATGAGACGCCGTCCTTAACCACCAAACGCGGATTGGTGGTCGTATTATTTTGGGTTGCCCCACTGTAGCCCTCTTCTGTCCTGTCTGCGTTATCTTGTTCTCTATCTCTCCACCATTTTCTCCCACTACAAGCTTTCCAGAAGCCGCCAAACAGGAAACCAGAAAGCTCCAATCTTTGAATCAAGAACCCCAAACCGGAGAGTACTGGTCCCTAGAATGGCCGTGTCAAAGAAGCAGCAGTCTTATATTTCAGTGGCGTCGGATATGGCCAACTCCCCTCTTCAAGCTCTGGTGCTCCTCTCTTCCAAGAAGAGGCAAACACCCCCGTTTTCTGCCAAGCTCAGATTTTTTCTCTACAATCCGAGGTTTTGGGTTTCTTTGCTGTTTCTGTTTGGTCTCTCTGGGATGCTGAAGCTGTGGTTTAGTTTTGACACTATGTTGCCTATCTCTCCCCTTTACCCGTGTTCGGGTCATCAAGAAAAGGCAGATTTCAGTTCTCAGCTGGGAAGCGGTGGGGACGGCAAGAGTGAGTTCTGGAAGCAGCCTGATGGGTTGGGGTATAGGCCGTGTTTGGATTTCAGTGGGCAGTATATGAAGGATAGTGCGGGGGTTTTGAAAGATAGGAGCAAGTATTTGATGGTCGTGGTTTCTGGCGGAATGAATCAACAGAGGAATCAGATTGTGGATGCTGTGGTGATTGCCAGGATTCTTGGAGCTGCCCTGGTTGTTCCCATCTTGCAAGTGAATGTTATTTGGGGTGATGAAAGGTTTGTGATTTCTCAGTGTCACTTAGAAACCCATCAAAACATCTTCTTCTTTGGAATCCTCTTTACATATCTTAGCTTATTCTTCACAAAATGATTATTATTTAGTTTGTGATCCTTATCAAACTCAAAATTTTGAAAGAACGTACTTTGTTGATTTTGTTTAGCGATGTAAAGTATATTTAGTTCTATCAATGGTTACAAGTCGATGTAAAGGAGAGACCTAGTTTTGATTAGGAAATTACTAGGATTTTCAATTTACAACTCCAGTTGTAATTAAATACTGCGGATACTAAATACAGGTTTAGTCAATATATTAGTTATTGCTAAAAATATCCACTTCCTAGGAGACTAATTAATGTATAGAAATTGCTTAAAATAGGACCAAATACGTTTTCCCCGAAAATAGGACTTGTTTAGTCCTATTAAAAGAATAAAAACTTCCCTGAATAGGTGTGCATGAGTCCTAGTATGGGTAGAAAACATTGTAACTCCGATTTGAGAAAAACTGCATTGTTTTAGTCCTGTTTAGGGGATTTTCTCATGTAATTTTTTGTTATTATGTAACATTTGCAGTGAGTTTTCGGATATCTTTGACTTGGATCACTTCAAGAAAGTTCTAGAGAATGATGTAAGAGTCTTGTCTTCCCTTCCATCAACACATGTGATGAGCAGAATCGTGGAAGAGCAACACACTCCCTTTCACGCTTCCCCTGAATGGATTCGCACACATTACGGCAGAAAGGTCAGTTTTTATGCCATGTTTATGCTGTCAACTTACTTGGCTACATTTCATATCATATGATTTATATGTATTGTGTTGCATATCTATCATTTTTTTATACAGTACAAACTTGATGTCTTTTTTGCAGCTTAGGAGGGAGGGCGTACTTTTATTGCGAGGTCTAGATTCAAGGCTCTCAAAGGAGCTTCCTTCTGATCTTCAAAAGCTTAGATGCAAGGTAGCTACTATTTTTTTGCCCAAACAAGTTATAATTACAACACGACATTTGAGTTGAGAAGAATCCTGAAGTGTTGGGATGGGATTTATTGGGCAAACAATGTGTTTTAAGTGTCCCACAATTACCAATCGATATTTAACATGCAAATTTGAGGTTAGTTCTGACATGTAAGGATCCTTTTGGGGAGAGTAAGGCCTAATTAATAGAGCAAACAACTGTTAATGAAGGAATATTTTGTACCTTTACTTTATGCCTCACCAGAAGTTTGGATTGTTCATCTTGGGGTCAAAACTAAGTCTCTAGTTGCTCTACGTGATTATGTGACATAAGAGGAACTATAATGATTTGTCGATTTGTGTATAGAGTGCTCAACTTTTAACTGTAATTTCGATGAAACTATAGGTGGCTTTCCATGCCTTGAGATTTGCTCCACCTATCTTGGAATTGGGTAATAAGCTGACAGAGAGGATGAGGAGCAAGGGTCCATATCTCGCACTCCATCTGCGTATGGAGAAGGACGTATGGGTAAGGACGGGCTGTCTTCCTGGTTTGAATGGGAAGTATGATGAGATGATATGCAAAGAACGGAAGCTAAGACCCGAGCTTTTAACATCGCGATCAAACATGACCTACCATGAAAGGAAGCTAGCCGGTTTCTGCCCTTTAAATGCATTGGAGGTTACTCGGTATGGACAATTGAAATGACACATATTTGTCTAAAAGAAATAGATTGGACAAAAATCGTAGTCGACTTTCGCAGTGACTATTATAGCGATGCTGATTTTCAATTTCACACTGCCCTTGCCGTGGTGATATTTTTGTAGTCCAAACTTTTTTATTCTAGTAATATTGTAGTAAAAACCTCCAAATGATTCATTTTACTTCAATGATTGACATGTTTTGCTTTGTATTTAGGTTGCTCAAAGCTTTGGGAGCTCCAAAGAGCGTGATGATCTATTGGGCAGGAGGAATGCCGTTGGGCGGGAAAGAGGCACTAGAGCCGTTGACCAAAGAGTTCCCGCATTTCTACAATAAGGAAGACCTTGCACTGCCCGGGGAACTCGAGCCATTCAAAAAGAGAGCATCGGTTATGGCTGGCATCGACTATATTGTTTCGGAGAACAGCGACGTCTTCATGCCATCTCATGGTGGGAACATGGGCCATGCCATCCAGGGACAGAGGGCTTATGCCGGGCACAAAAAAACCATCACACCGAACAAACGACAGATTCTCCCACACTTCATGAGTAATGCTTCACTTTCAGAAGCAGCAGAGTTTGACAAGATTATACTCGACTTGCACCGTGATTCGTTCGGTCGTCCTGAACTCAGGAAACCTGGTAGGGACATCACAAAATATCCTGTTCCAGACTGCATGTGCAAAAGTCACCCCTCCGTGTAGAAATCTTGTTCAACTTCATCCCTTGTCCTCTTCTTGGTATAGGATTGCAAAGAAAGAACAACCTGATTAGTCATCAGGAGATGCACCTCCCTCTGGAATGAAAGTCTATAAATGTAAGGTGGTGGTCTTGGGGTGCACTGCTTTTTGGTATGCATTTGGAGATCCGGCAGAGATATTTCTTGCAACGACACGCCTGAAATTGCCACGCCTGATATTGCTTCATTTTTTCGTTATATTATTATTCTTTGTATATTGTATGTACCCTTCAATGAGGAAAGTAAGAGAATATATGATCATTGTATAGCAGATTCAGTACAGAGTACGTATAATATCATTCAATTCATTCTTTATAGAGTTAAGGGATGTTCTTCAATCTTCATATGGAGCGCAGTAAATCGTATATTGATCAATGTTTTTGTCCAGGAGTTTGTCTCAAAATGGTTAGATCATGTTGACCTTAAAATAATATTCCAAGCTGGGATTGGAGTCCCAAAATTTAAAGACCAAATTAAACCATCAATTTGTCTACACGTGGGTCAAACCTAAATCGGGTCAACTCGACACTCGGATTCGAACAAAAAACAGCAAACGTTAACGCGGATGTCAAACGCTTCGATTAACCAAAAAAATTAGAATTCTTTTCACGTCCGCTTTTCCAGATTCATACTTTGCTCGTCTACCTTTCGGTATTGCCGAACCGCTGAATCGATTCGCAGTCCGTTTATACCTTCAATCGCTCAATCCTCTCTCTCATATCACGCATGTAGCATCGATTCAATGTTTGTTGGATTTTCTCGAATGTCGAGAAGGAATCATAAGTGTTCTGTTGTAATTCTTGAGTTGCTCGCAAATTCTTCATAGTTGTGTCCCAAGTTGTATATGGAATACGAGCCGTACGATAGCAGTGGTGAGTCAAAGATTGGGGATTCAGTTTATTACTGATCAATGGGATTTTCGAATTAGCATTCGCTTGATAAGATTGTGTTTAGTTCGATGAACTGGTTAGGTCTTCAGTTCGCGAGTTTTTTTGTGGAAAACGGTGTGAAAGCTTTATTCATACTCCATTGTTACTTTTGCCCGTTTCTCCTTCATTGAGGTTGGTTTGACGTACAATGTTTTTTTTTTGTTTTCATATTTTTCATTTAAATTTGTCCATTTGCTAAAGAAGCTCTGCTAAGGAAGTACGCTGGAATAGCCAAAATGCAAATCTTTTAAGTTGCTCTAGCCTGAGCCCCTTTATGTTCATTACTGTCTACTTTAGATATTTGAGGATGGGCTGACTTGATCCTACATAAGTGCACACTTTATCCCGTTTCAATAGGCTCTTAAAGTTTGATCTGTGCATTGTATATACTCCGTAGTATTTACTACTTCTGTAATGCTGTCTATAACGTTATTTTCATCCTAGGGAGTAGGGACCCTTATTTTCATCCTGGGGACCCTTGTAATCAAGTATAATTCATTTATACTTGATTGATTGATTGATTTTTTCCCGATTTTTGAGCTTCTATCTATTGGAAACAGAAAGCCTAGAGTAAAATTTTAGTGTTTCTCTCTCACATGCAATATTCAGTAGGTATTATAGTTCTACATGCAATGCTGTAATGTATATCGGATTGCCTTTACAAAGCCTAGAGAAAATGTCCATAAATCTAGGTTAAAGCCTTGTCACCTTCCCACAAATCACAACAATGGGAAGATAAAGCTTTAATTCTATGCATTTATAATTCTTGTGTATTTATTTAATTGTTCATACTTTGGTGCTGTTATAATCTCTCAAATTCTAATTTTTATTCGTTCTAAAAAAGTTGTAGCTTAATATTGAAATAGGATTGAACTTGTTTTACTCTTTTATGGAGTGGTCTATTTGCTTATGCTGGAAGCTGATGTTTATTGTGTGTGACTTTTCTGGTAGTCATGCAAAAGTTCAAATTTTTTCCATTGTGGATGCCATTAGCCCATTACAGCATTACTAATAATACAGTATACTTATGTACATTTAGCTTAAACATAACTACTTAATAATGAAGTGTGATAAGGTATATGAGGGATTACATGATTTACAGGCATACTTTGCTTACTTTTAATTTCTTCACTGCAGGTACAGATGACGATCTTCCTCCATCGCATCAAAATAGGATTCCTAGAGGTGGCCACATTGCCATTAATGGTATATCAGCTGTCGGAGGCTCTGTCCCTTATCCAAGTCTGAATAGAGAAACTGATATGAAGAGTCTAATTCACCAGCTGGAGCAAGAGGCATACAGTTCTGTTCTAAGAGCCTTTAAAGCTCAAGCAGATGCAATTACTTGGGTACTTGATATCATTTTAACTCTGTTAATATATTTTTTGTATATTTGTTTACCAGGTTGAATGATTGGTCTCTGATTTATTTTTCCAGGATAAGGAAAGTTTGATAACTGAACTTAGAAAAGAGTTGAGATTGTCAAATGAAGAGCACAGGGAGCTTCTTGGCAGGGTAAATTCTGATGATGTCATCCGAAGAATAAGGTTTGCATTATTTATATATTATATGTATATATTATATATATTAGAAATTTTCCTGTCAAGCACCTCCATTTGAGGTGCTTCCGGGTGGAAATTTTTTATGGAATTTTGTGAGCATGTTCATCACGAAGTGTAGATTATGTCCACAAAATTTCACTTTAAAATTCAATCGGGAAGTCAGTTAAAGAAATTATTTAAAGACATTGTGTTTTATATATATATTTGATGAAGTAAGGTTCTTTAAAATTCTTGGTGGACATAATCTTTAATCCATGGAAAACATGCTCACAAAATTTCATCAAAAAATCGACCCGGAAGCACCTCAAATGAAAGAGGCCTAAGAATTACAATTCTTAGGCCTACCTTACCTTAGCATTACCCTATATATATATATATATATATATATATATATATATATATATATTGGCTATTGGCACAGCGTTTTTCAATGATTTATTTAACTAACATCCGGATTGAATTTAAGGTAAACTTTAGTGGACATAATCTAATCTTCATGCAGAACATTCTCACAAAGTTCCATCAAAAAATTCCACCGGGAAGCACCTCATATGGAGGCGGCCAGACGGCGGTTCCAGTGAGGAAGGCCTGACAGAAATATTACTCTCTCTCTATATATATATATTTATTTATCTATTTATTTATTTGTTTGTTTGGTAGGGAGTGGAGACAATCTGGTGGCAATCAACAAGGAATACTTAGTACAGGCCCTCAACCAGGCATTCATGATCTAGTCCCCAGTCCTGTGTCCGCTTCTCGGAAGAAACAGAATGTTGTATCATCTCTACCATCTCAATCCTTTGGTGGACCATCACCTGGTTTTTACCCAGCAGCAGTAACTACATTTAATCAACCATCTTCGACGGTTGCTAAAAGAGGGCCTATGGGGCCCAAAGGGAAAAAACAGAAACCTGTGAGTTCCAAGGACCTCCTAATCCTACATCTTTATTTTTGTGTTTGATTGTTCATTTATATAATTCTATTTACTCCTTTCTCCACAGGGTCTAGTAATGCCAGGTGCAACTAAGACACAATATCCTCCCTCTGGTCCTTCTGGAAGAGGACAATTTGTTAATAGAATTTCTAAACCAACTGAAGGAGCTTCATTTGATCCATTAATTGGTAGGAAAGTGAGGACCAGATGGCCTGATGACAATAATTTTTATGAGGCTGTCATTACTGATTATAATCCAGTTCAGGTATGCCTTATCATTGGTTACTTTTAAATGCTACTTGATCAACGAAAGCAGGAACTGTGATTTGTAGCTAAAAAGGTTCATTTTTAGAAGTTAATACTTTCTGATGCTTTTTCACATTATGTTTTAGGGACTTCATGCTCTTGTTTATGACATTGGCACTGCAAATGAGACTTGGGAATGGGTGAACCTCTCAGAGGTATACACACGCACACATATATTGATTGTTATTGTATATAAACTTTTCTAGCTTCATAGCACATCCAATTTTGTTATTCTATTCATTGTAACATTTGTCTGATATTTCTAGTATCGCGCTTTTAGCCGTATAGGCTGGCCTATAAATTGCCATACAAGACAAAGCTTCTGTTGTTGGGAGCAATTCAATTTGTTTTAAATTAAATCTCTTAAGTATATCCACTGTACACGCATACTGCATAGATCATTTTTTTAATATGAGAAATTGTGTAGTATTTATTTTGTCTCATAAAAAATTTAAATGTGCTCATAATGTTTATGCAATCTGATAAGCTGTTCAGCTGTCTTATGCAAGCTGTTTTAAAATTCTATAGAACTGTCGAGATTAACCAAGTTTTCTTCAAGACTGTTTTAGGGAGATTCTTTAGGAATCCTGGCATGTGATATATATCTGTTGCTATATATCCTTGTGAATTAGTTTATTTGAAAATACTGATGTGGAGTTTTGATCTGTTCTTGAATTTCCTTCCAGATTTCTCCTCAGGATATTCAATGGGACAATGATGCAGGAGACCAAGGAGTAAATAGAGCTATTGGTCGTGTTAGTGCCCCAACAGGTGTTGGCAGAGGAAGAGGGCTGACTAAAGCTCAGCCCGCAAAGGATTTTCCACCACCACAGAACGGTGTAGCTAAGAAAGTATCAGACTATATTCAGTTACTTCACACTGATACATTAATTAAAGAGGTAGGCTGCTCAAACATATTAATGAACATTGCTTGTGTTCATGCGTCTCTCTCCTTTGTAATGGACATTCAATGTTTTTAAAGGTTGAGAGGATATTTGGTGCCTACCATCCTGATCCCGTAGAAATTGAGAAGGTCAAAAAAGTGCTGAAGGTTAGTTGTGCACCTGCTGATTCCCTGATTTCGTTTTGATGATGACGTCTACTTGATGGTATACTAATACTAGTTGGTGATTGATGCAGGAGCATGAGCAATCACTTATAGATGCTATTTCAAGACTTGGTGATATTTCTGATGTTGAAAGTGGTATGTGATGACTCACTTTAACTGTAATTGCTTCTTTTTGTCACTTATGAGTTATGTTCAAAGTATGAATTATCACCATATGGTTGTAACTCCATTTTCCTGGAAGAGTTGTTTTTTGATTCAGCATCTCAAAAGTATATACATTCCTGCCTAAAGATTGGTTTTTGTAAGGTGTTAGAGACTGTATAACCAAGCCCATTCCGAAATTTTTTGGGTCCTTTTGTATATGGGCCATGAGTTCTGTATTGGTTGGGCCGCGCGTCCTATTAGTATTGGGGTTAGGTTTTACTCTCTATAAATACACTCTCTCTCCTTGTACTCATTATCAGAAAATAATAGTAACATCCTGGTTTGGTAGCGCCCCCAGACGTAGTCATTCGTGGCGAACTGGGTTACCAAATTTCGTGTGTTCTTATTGTTCTTCGTGTTGCTTGAGTTTAATCTTAACAGTTTTGGGAGTTGGGATTAAAGATTCAAAAATCCTTGAATATGGTGGTAGACTGGAAGTCTCCCATTAGGGGATGTGCCCACAAATTTGTGATAGTATGATGGCTTTTAGATCATTAACATGTGAAGTTATGCTGTCTCTAGTTATATCTTCTCTGTCATGGACATAACCTTATATGTTAGGTTGAAGTAAAGCAAGCCTGCATGCATACAAAATAGGAAGGTTTTTGGATATTAACTAGCATCTTTTATTGTCGTGTATGATATATAATTTATATATCTTTATGACAGTTGTATCTAAGCATTAGCTGGAACTTATGTTTCTTTTGCATCTGCATGAATGTAAAAGAGTGACCATAAGCTATGTAGCACGGAAACTCTCGGGAAAGAGTACGTTTCCCGTTTCGGAAACTCTCGGAAACTCTTTGGAAACTCTCCAAATAAGCGTTTTTTGAACAAAAGTTGACGTTTCCCGTTTCCTCATGATTTCCGCGTTTCCGTGCAACACAGACCATAAGTAATAAGTTACTCCCTCAGTCGCATTCAAAGGTTTACACTTTTCTTTTGTGGATGTAAAAGAGTGACCATAAGTAATAAGTTACTCCCTCCGTCGCATTCAAAGGTTTTCACTTTTCTTTTGTGGACATCCTAGCTAAAGGTTCCCATTTTCTATTTTAGGAAACAATTAACACTTTTAGAAAATAATTTAATCATCAAATATTAAAAATAATACATTCACAACATCACAATTATCATATAATCCATTATATTATATACCTGTTAGAACTATTTTTCAAAATATACTTGAATTAACATGTTTAATCATTGTGTTAATAATCATGCCATTGTGCAATGAGAACCTTTGAACGGGACGGAGGTAGCATTTTTCGGGTATTATTAATTATATTGCATATGTTGTAATCAAGAGTGACTACAAGTAATATGGCTAGCTTACATTGTGGTCAGATACGGTATCGATTTATGTTGTTCTTCCCCACCTTTGCAATTTTTGAACTTATGGCTTTGCATGTAACAGATGAATGCAGCCATTTCATGCACGGACATCCGATGGAGGCATAGTGACATGTTAATAGGCTAATAATAGGTGGTAGAAGCAGCTTGCATTATGAGACTCATACTAGTAGTCAAATGATCTTCATAGTTTGTTTGACCTTCCAGAACGTAGGTTGTAACAATCGGCTATGGTTGTGTTTATTCATTTTAATTTGTAAAAAGAAAAATTATTATCATAGTTTTAGCTTGTTACCATGCATGTACAGTCTTTGTTGTTGCCAATTAATATGTATTAATTATTTTTTAATGCATTACTCTTTTCTTTCATCTTTTTGTTCCCGAACCGGGCCCGGAACCGGCCGGGCCGGTTCCATTTTCCCTAGACCCGTACCCGCCCCGGTTACCCCCCTAAACCGGGCCAAGACCCGAAACTGGTACCCGGGTTGGGCCCGCACAGTACCGGGCCGGGTGGCCCGAACCGGGTCCAAGCCTAATCAAAACTTAAGGAAATTGTTCTAAATAAGAGTAAAAACGATTTCCTATTTCAAAATAGGATTGTTATGTTTTATTTCCTAATGAATATGAGATTTTTTTCAAATATATTACTAAAATATTACTTATTTACATAAATATGACTAATAGTTATTATAATGTAGTGTCATTGTAACTTAAGTTTAAAATTGTAACTTAAATTATGATTTCATTACTACTTTAGATTTTAGTCATATTTATGCAATTATTTCTTACTTCACTTATATTTGGAAAATAAAAACATGAGACTCTTATTTTGGAAATATCAAATGTTTCTACTCTTGTTTCGGGAATTTTACCTAAAACTTAAGTACATAATATGGTCATTCCAAAAGGTGAAAAGAACATTTGAATGAGCACGCTGCACTTATGTATTTACTTCGATGAAGTTAGTGGTGGACTCGGGTCGGGCCACCCGGCCCGTGAACCGGCCCGCCCGCTGCTGTGCAGGCCCGGGACCGGCCTGGTCAGCGGTCTGGGTACCGGGCTTTGACCCGGCCCGAGGGGAAAACGGTACCAGGCACGGGTAGGCCTATTTGAGACCCGGCCCAGTCGGGCCCGTGCCCGGTTCGGGCCCAAATCATTTTTTTTGTTTTTTCATTTTTTTAATTCCAACGTGTTGGGCTGGGTGTTTTGGGGGTGGGGTGGTCAGGGGTAGTCAGGAAAGCCCCAAAAAAAATTACTTTTGACCCGGCCCGGACCGGACCCGGTGGATACCCGGGCCGGTCCCGGGCCCAACCCCAAATCCCAGAAAGCCCGTTGGGCCTAGGCCCGACCCGGCCCGAATCCACCCATGGATGAAGTTGTTAACTTACGTCCTTGGTTAGAAGATTTTGGCACATTAAGCCCAAAAAACAAAGGTCAGATTTAATCTTGTTCTTTCCACAGTAATCCGATTTCTAACTCGAAAAGTCATGTTTCGATCTGATATTGGGATTGGATTGAGTCTACCCAATCTTCTTTTGCATCACATACATTCCTCTTTTTATGAGGTTACACAATGTTTCTTTTTGACAAACTATGCTCTACAAAAATATTATTAAAGCGTTTGAATGTAGTCATGTAGATAGTTTATCTTTAGATGTAATGCATCGTGCCATCGTATATATTTTTGATTTCACATGTTTGTTTATTGTTTTATAACAAGAAATAAGAAATTGAAAGAATGTAGGCTCACGTAGGAGAACATCAAAGAATCTCAAATAATATATTTTAGAGAACCAATAGGCATACTGTTTGAAAGTTCAATTCTTCTTGTAAGTAATTTTGTCTTATTCATCTAGCTAAATCTCAATGAAAACAGCATTTTACTACTCACCTGGGCTCATATAATGAATAATGATCGCCCTAACAACATTTTATTATACTACGTACATAGCTACCTGCCTACCTTGATGTACCTATTTTTTTTTGTAAAACTAAGTTTCACTTAAACTCACCAAATTTTCTAAAATGTGTTTCACATTTATTAGTTTAATAAAACTAAATAATATTTATTTATTTTTTTAAAATTCATGACGACATATGTTCTAGATTGATAGATTCCAATCATTCAAGTCTTAAATTAATAACTTTCCATCATTCGAGTCTTATATCAATACATTTCATTTTCTGGTTTGGTATTGATAATTCATCTGGTTTGAGGTCTTGATATTCTTTTATAAAGTGAGACACTCCAATGTAAAATGAATGATTTTTGAGGGAAGAGTGTCAATTGAGTAACTTGTATGAGGTGGAGTAAAGAGTACACTATATTGCATTTTACATTTGTAAGTACACACTCACTTATTTAGTGTTAATTGAGTACACTTATTAGATTAACATGTTAACTGAGTTGGCTAACGGAATGCTGAGTAAGAAGGGGTAGTGGACCAAGATTATGACGTCAACCTTCACAAAGTCGACTAAAAAGGAAAAATCGACCTTCAAAGGTCAACCTGAAGGGATGCATCGACCAAGGGGAAGTCGGCCTCCGGGGCTTACATCGAACATGGGGAAGTCAATCAAGGGAGTGTGGCTGGCGTCGACTTTCAAGAAGTCGACCTATTAGCAATTTGTTAGCCAACTTAGTCGTATGAACGTGTTAATCTAACGAGTGTACTCAATTAACACTAAAAAACCAAGTTTGTGTATCAAATGCTACATGGTGTATTCTTTACCCTACTTCATACTAGTTAATGTAGTCAATTGACACTTACAATCATATTTTATTGTTTACTAGATTTCAAGCCCGTGCGATGCACGGGTAGTACATAATTTAGCTAACTGTATATTTGATATTTTCGAAATCATATATAATTAATAAAAGTAATTCAAATTTATATGAAAAATATTTAAATTGGACTTCTACATAAGCATCTCAACTAAACATAATGGTTATGAACCCAATTTTAAAGAATTCATACAAAAGTTTCTTAATTAATTTCACATCCTCTATATTACTTCATTAAGCATCTAAAAAACTATTTTTAGATATTTCTCATTCAACATGTGGTATGAAATAAGTATTTGTAAATTTATTAGTGAGCTCTTACATTGTACTCATTATTTTGTCACATTGAAATGTAAAAAAGGGATCATTTTTACAATTTACTCATTTATTTTGTCACATTGAAAATGTCATTAATAAGGATATTTTTAATTAGATTGACATGTTCATTTCTAACTTGGTCTGGAAGATGTCTGTTTTATGTATAATAGTAATAATAATAATAATAATAATAATAATAATAATAATAAATATTATTATTATGATTGATATTTGATCCGATCTTGTCTAAGACTGAAACCAGTCCAATTAAAAACACCCTAAATGTATGAAGATTTCCTAATTGAGATTAGGAATCTATGTCAAAAGTGAAGGAATATCTAAATTGTAGTTGTAAAAATAAAGAAACAACTAAACATGTTTACTTTTTTGCTGGGCTAAACGTATTCATATATGTATGATATGAATTTCCATTTCCATCCTCATAAAGGTAAGATACTTGATCAGAAGTTTTAAATGTTTTCATATATGAATGTCTAATAGTATATATCAATTTCATTTTTAAGTTAAAAAATCTTGTGGTTATAATTTTAATCATTATCTCAACAATTAAGAAAGAATGGTATGATGATGCAGAAAAATACGAATTATTAACACAATTGCAAATATAAGGCCGATAACTTTAGTCATTATCACATTGAGTTTAGAAAACATTCAAAAAATTGAGTTTAGAAAAATAAAATATTACTCCATACTTTTTAGGAAATGGAACACTATTATTACTTTATTTATAAAATAACTTTGAAGAACAAAATTGATAGGAACTTGGATGATTTATTTGTTAGGTGCGCAAAACACGGATAATTCACTTCTCAATAAAATGTAATAAAAAATAAAAGTATAAAAATAATTAAATTAAATAAAGTCTATGTGCACGGATGACTATTTATTGTTGTGGTTGCAATAATTGCTTATTTTAATAACATCCACATTACTACGGAGTAAGTAGTAGATTCTGAAAAGGTTACCAAATAATGTGGATTTTATCATACGCGACGGTCTTTTGTTTCCATATCAATATGTAATAAAAAAAATTGAATGTAATAAAAAAAGGTATAAATAGTAATTAAATTGTTATATATGATGACATGGCAGGATTATGTGGCACGCCAGATGCTCTTAAAATTCCTCTTTTATATATATTTTAATAAATATCCATATTAATACGGAGTAAGTAGTAGATTCTGAATAAGTTACCAAATAAGGTGGATTCTATCATATGATCTTTTGTTTCCATATCAATATGCAATAAAAATGGAATGTAATAAAAACAATAAAATGTATAAATAGTAATTAAATAATTGTAATATATGATGAAATGGCAGGATTATGTGGCGCGCCGTATGCTCTTAAAAAGTTCCTCTTTTATATATATATATATATTGATTGTTTAAAAAAGCATATCCAAAAACAAGAGTTTGGGAGACGACTCTTCCAAGCCCATCGGTATGATATGCGTCGGCGGAGTTCCTTTCCCTACCGGTTCCGATGATTCGTCTTCCTCTCAGGTAGTTATGATATTGCTAATGTTCCTCTAGAAGTCCAACAAAAAAAAGTCAAGTATTTATAGTGTAATGGTAAAATCGATTAAGTGATGATGTGAGTTAGAGTTTGTTGCATTTTGGAAGCATAATTTTATGGCCTCTTTAGTTCTTAAGGAAATGATTATTGATGATGATGAATTTGTAAATGCTATTGAATTTATATTTTTAGTATGTACGTAGTATATTTTATGCATCTACATTAGCTCTGAAAATAATTTCTTGTATGTTGCTGCGAACTGATATTTTTGTTGGGAAAAAGGAGGTTATGTCTACCAGAAACGAAAGAATGAATGCAGCATACTTCCAGTGAAATAGTGCTACATTGTCTCTTTGCGTATAGCATGTGGTGTTATTTTCCACCAGTTGTCTTGGTTATAAAGGAGTTAGTCTTTCAATTATAATTAAATTTTAGTATTGTGTTTGCATTAGAAGGGCTTGTGCTCTCGTTTGAATGGGGGGATTTATGGATTTTATACACAAGTAGTAAATTTTTGTCTGTTTAGTTCGCCGTTTAACATATTTGTGGTTGCCTGTGGTGCCCTCATAGTTCGCCGTTTAACATATTTCCTTTTTGTTACTCTGAGCAGGGAGAAGACATCATGATGGCCTTAATGAATCATCCCGCTTTGATGGCTGCATCTTTTTCATTAAGTGCCACTCAGGAGAGAAAGCTTTCTCTTTCCAATAGTTGTAATTTGGTGGGAATGAAACAAATAAAATGGGTCTATATTTTCCAAAGAGAATATGCTACTATCAACCCTTCACTTGTTGATGTGTGTTTAATTATTCTCTCTTTATCTAGTACTAGTAACTCTACTTTGACAGAATGGATTAAACCGTTGATCCCATGTGCTCATTTTTCATTATTAAATATCATCTAAAATCTACCTTTTATATTGTTTCAAATATTTTTGCTTGCATGGCTCTTCTTGTTATAGTATTGCATGACGTCCTTTTCTCAGTTTCAGACAATTTTTTCTTTAAGTTATTTATATGTCAAATGTAACCATGCATTGCTGAATAGAACTTCATATAATAATCATTTTCGTAGCATTTTAATCCATACACTAATTCTCTGATCTAGTCATGCTGGAGTAATGATGATGAGTCATATAGGGATCTTATTGTTCTCAATCCTATAATTATTTAGCGTATACATATCAAGAACACCGAAATAAAAGCAAGTATATTTAAGTATTCCTGAAATGCAACTGCTTTTATGTTTTGGTCAAACTTTTATGAACTTAATTTATGTTTACTCATGTATGTTTCAAAGTTTCAATTCAGATTCTTTATTGTTCTCTTTCCTCACGGCCTAATATTTCCTCCCTGCCTAATGTCTTCTTGTTGTCACGAAAAAGATGGTTGGCACTGATGAGGCGACGACCTGTGTAGGTCTTATCATACGAAATCTTAAAAGCGGAATGTAAGGATCCTAATCACTCTAGGTTGGAGTTTCATGAAACTGTATGACCTTGGTAGCAAAGAAGCTCCAAAATGTTCAACTGTTCTATTGTCATTCACACACTACACTTTAGAACCACAGCTGCGTCTGCATTTGTGGTTCTTAGGTCTGAACTCTGAAGTAAATGCCTCCAACGATGCTATATTTGTGTTTTGGATGCAGGATATCTGTTGCCCATATTGATTCTCCAGATGTTGTTGATATCGGCCTAACCCAAATGTTATCCTCCATTGTTGATAATGATGATGCCATTTTGGATGTATTTTGTCTTCCTTCATTTGCCACTATGTCGAGATGTGCTTTTAGTAAGCTTTGGAAATTTACACATAAGTTTCTAACTTCACAAGTATGATATGCAGGTACATTTAATTGGTGGCTTTAATGATGTCCCACATGAAGTCAGGGTCAACTCTTTCTCTTTTGCCTTGCACTTTAAATTAATGTAGTTAGGAACTTAGAGGCAACTCTGTAATGTTGATTCTGTATTTGTTGGGTTTTTTGTGCAGCATAAAAATTGTGTATCACATGATAATGAAAAGTGGGAGGGATATTCCTTCCCCCTTTGTTCAAAGATAGTTGACACCATGGGGAAGAGTACCAATATTTTCAACATTAAAACGCTGCATGTTCTTGATCATAACACCACAAGGGATTCAAAAGGAAATGCATGCCCAATCTTCAATGGTTTCCTGGTAATTTGAATGTGTAGGGTTGGTGGATCTTTGCTAGTTTCACTCTCAGTGTTGCTCTGCTCATGTCTTTGCTAGGTGGAAACTGCCACCGGGTCAATATTTCCAGCAACCTTTGATGGAACAACAAGATGCCCAGATGAACTCATTAGGAGAATCCGAGTGACTTCTTCATTTGAGGACCTCAGTTGGAAGGGTAGATTGCTGGAGACATATGACACGCTGTCGGACCGATTCATTATTGCTCCTTGCACATGGTAAACCTCCACCTTGAATTAATGGTTAGTAAAATGCAATAAATTTAGCCCAGTTATTCAGGGAGAAAGCCATATTTGATATTGGTGATAGAGATAACTGTTTCTATATCTTTTATTGTGTTTACTCATTTCCATTCCCAAGGTCAGCCCATCAAAAACAGATTGCTCTAGGTCTGCAAAATCTATGTGATCCAGAAATCCTTCGTATCTGTTCCACCTCACCTTCTGCTGAACCTCCTCATTTTGTGGATGATCTAAGAAGGTAAACATGCCTATGTTTTCTTATGAAGTGCTGCAGTAGCCGTGTAGTGGTTTCATGTTCCTATTCATAGGAACGGAAGGAAAATGGTGTATATTGGTATATGGAGTATTATTTTAGGAACAGTTCATTAGGGATTAAGTTGCATAAAAAAGAACTTTGATATCTTTTAGTGTGTTATGGAAGAGGTCACCCAAAATGTCCAAGATGGGGTATGTATGGTGTATGTTGTTTGCTGATGAGACTTTTCTAGTAGATTAATACTGTATATAGAAATGGCCAAAATAGGACCAATCGTAGTCAAAGTTCTAAAATAGTACCAAGTATGTTTTCTTCCCAAAATAGGATTTACTTGATGTCTTGATCCTACTAAAAGGAAAAAAAGGATTAAACTTAAAAGCGGTTAGTGTTTGAAAAAAAATGATTTTGAAAAAGTAAAAGTTAGAGTGTTTGGTGGAAAAGTATATTTTTGTGTAATATAGAAAGTAAAAAGCAGTTAAAACTAAAAAGCATCCTTCTTCTTTTAGCTTTTGGCTTTAAATTGTGTAACTTTAAGTAATAGCATCCATTTGAAAACACACTTTTCAGCTTCTTTTAATAAAAAAGCTGAGAAGTGTTTTTCTAAGCAATAGCAAACACTCCCTCTTGTTTGTATTGTGCGATTAAGTTTCATTATTTTTATCGACTATGCAATGTATTGCTATCTTGTTTTGGACTGTGGTTATTTATTAGTGTTGAGATGCATTAACACGTACTGAGAATCGAGCTTTAAATTGGCTGTCTCAGGCAATGGGAGTATTTAATCAAACACCCAGATTGGCGAGAAACGTTTCCTGGTAAACATCCCAGAATATTTGTGAGAACAGCTAATGGGGGTTGGGATAGGCTCCTCTTGGACTAAAATATTGCATCCAGGCTGTGAAGTATGCACGTCCAGGCTGCGAAATATGCAAGCATCCATTTCATGCCATTGTAGAATCAGATTATTGCCCAATACTGGCGTAAATTCCCCCCAATCTAATATTACCGCTTCAATTGCCATGGTCCATGGAAGGTGAACATAATGTCATAAGACTCATAACAATGTTAAGGACAATAGTAATAACATCTAAATCATAATGGTGAAAAATATGAATCTTCTAGTTGGTATCCCCTTTCTTATTGTAGATAGAAAGATAGATAATCTACAGCCATCCCATGCCCATATGAATACAAGATTATACAGTATATTTGGTCATGGAGATTGCTTCCAGAATTTTGAGCAAAATGTATTGTACACCCTAGTGCAGTTTTTCAGTTCGGGTCTTTTTGTGATTCTTGTAATTGCTCTTTTTACATATGAAGAATGCTTTTTTGGTTGTGCTGCATATTTAACCGTGGTCACATGTTTAATCAGTTTCATTCTATATAAGAAACACTCATTGTGATTTGTGCATAAGGAAGAATGCTCTGCCCAGAGTAATTTCAGATGCTCCAACTTTTGAGTCTTCGCAATAGGACTCCTACGTTGGGAACTTAATCTATGAACCGTTATGACAATGGATAGAACTGTAATTTCAAAGCTCATAACGGTCCGTGATAAGTGAAGTTGCAACTTGCAATTCCCAATTTGTTCTTATAATTGCAACTATCAAGCCATCAAGGAATCTCTCACAATTTTAGCACATTTTCGCCTTAAATCAATGTCAAAGCTAGGGGTGGACTCGGGCCGGTTCGGGCCTGGTTCGGGCCTGGGCCCGGCCGGGCCTCGGGCCTGGAAAGTTGGGCCCGAGCCCGAACCGCCGGTGGGCGGTTCCGGGCCAAACCGGGCCGGGCCGGGCCGGGCCTAACCGGTTCTAAGTTTTTTTTTTGGCTCTTCTATTTAACCCCCAACCCCTCCCCCTCAACCCCAAACCACCCCAAACCACCTCAAATGGCCCAAAATACCTAATCCAACCCAAAACTTAAAAAAAAATCAACAAAAAAAATAATTAAAAACCGGCCCGAACCGGCCGGGCTTGTTCACCAAAAACTGGGCCCGAGCCCGGACCGCCCAGCAGCCGGGCCGGGCCGGGTCAAACAGTAACCGGGCCGGGCCGGTTCCGGGCCGGGCCGCCCGGCCCGAGTCCACCCCTAGTCAAAGCCCATTTACATCGCCAAAATCAGGAAGGTTGGAATTGTAGTTTTGTAATTTCAAATGTCATGTTTCCTTGCATTTAGATTGTAGACCAAAATTGCCTCTAACAAACCCAATGGGTGTTCCTAGTGTTGGACCGGGCCCGGGTCGGGCCTAGGCCCGGCGGGCTTTTTGGTGTTTGGGGTTAGGTCCGGAACCGGCCGGGGTATCCACCGGGTCCGGGCCGGGCCGGGCCTCGGGCTAGTTCCATTTTTTTGCTTTTCTAATTAACCCCCGACCCCCCCAAACCACCCCAAATGGCCCAAAACACCCAACCCAACCCGGGAAAATAAAAAAATTGAAAAAACAAAAAAAAATTAAAAAAGCCCGAACCGGGCCCGGCCGAGCCGGTTCCATATTTTGGTGACCCGAGTCCGCCCAACATAACCTCCGGGCCGGGCCCAAATAGTACCGGTCCCGAGCCGATTCCGGGCCGGGCAGCCCGACCCGAGTCCATCACTAGGGTGTTTCATTTCACGCAGAAATAACACATTGTTTTAGACTATGACTGGAGCACAAATAACACTTTTTTTAGCTAAAGAATGGGACATTTTTTTGAGAGTACAAATAACACAAATAACACATGAAAAAGTAATTATTTTACTTTTGATAAAAATCAATCAAACATCCATCAGAGCAATCAATGAACACAATTTTTTTAGACATTGTTCTCAAACTAAAGAGCATTTGGATAAGAATAATAAAGTAAAATTACTTATCCAAATCCTTTATTATTCTCATCCAAATTATTTATTGTTCTTATCCAAATTCTTATCCGGGCAAGTGATTTTTTTTTTGACACAATTTTTTGCATTTGCTTATTAAAAATACTTCTCAGTTTTTTGGTTAAAAAAGCCAAGAAAAGTGTTTGTTAAGACCAAAAAGCCAAGTTAAGTGCTTTTAAATGCATTTTGGTTGTTTTGTAAATAGCTCAATGTTCGAGGATAATTTTATCCCTGGCTTTCTTATCAATAGATTGACTTGCTCTTCTCTTCGTCCCTACCTTCTCCAATCTCCATCGGCTCTCTAAAGCAAAACATCAGCCAAATTGCCGAATTGGTAAAAAAAAAGACGATTTATCAAATTGATAGGGAAAAAAACCTCCATACACAAATTGGTAAAAAAACAAAGCTCCAGCAACAAAGTGATCAAGTTTTTGGGAGTGAGACATTTTGAGTCTAGGACTTTGGAATTCTCAGTCATTTACTCCCTTAAATACTGTGAAATTGACATTTTTAATTCTTCCGCTGTGATTTCATCACGAAAAGTGGATGACTAAAAATGTTAACGAGGATGTTAGACAATTAGCGGTTGGCTGCAAACTAATAACCGTAATAGGAGGTTGAATCAGATACTCACGAATTTTGTTAGCTATTTTAACAAACCGCTTTCATTAGCGGTTTGAAGTAAACTGTTTAGTAACTCATATGTTGGTGATTAGCTGTTAAGAATATGAATTTAAAAGTACATATATATTATTTAACTTTATCTCTTTTCAATTTTAAATATGTTTTGGAAAAAGTCTAAAATTTATATTTACTTATATACGATAGTACTATACAACTACTACCACTGTCATTTTTAACACGTACGTTTACATGAGCACACATATAAATTCATGTTGTCCTTAGTATTAATATTTTAAATATGACTATTTTGTTATTTTTTAAAATGCCACTTCATATAAAATAGAAAAAAGCATTCATATTGATAAAATAGTAAAAATATTCATAGTAATTTTATGGAGAAAAATTGTTTTTTTTAATAAAGTAAAATTGTTAGTTCACAATAGTTAAAAGCCTAAATGTCGGGAATTCTAAAGTCGAAGACTAACATTGTTTCTCACAAAAAGTGACCAATAATATGCCACTACAGCTTTTCTTTTTACCAATTTCTCTTCCAAGTTTTTTTGGGTCCATTCTTTCTGGGCTTGGAAGAAGAGAGGAAGAAACCCCCATGGGTTTACCGAAGGCGGGACGGGCTTGAGCCCACCTTCGTGAGCTGGTTGCGGGCTGTTTAATTAATATTTATTCTTTTTATCTTTCCTGATTTGTTTCCTTTTGGAGTTAATTAGGATTTCTAATATGTGTTTCCTATTAGGAGTTAATAAGGATTTCTATTATTTATTTCCTATTTGAAGTTGATTAGGATCTTTATTATTCTGTTTCCTTGTTTGAGTTGATTAGGATCTCTAAGATTTTGTTTCCTAGTTTAAGAGTTAGTAGATGTGTATTTAAACCCCTGGTTAGGATTCATTCTGGCTCATCTTGGAATAAAATTGGTTTTAGCCTTTTGGCTCTGGGCAACGGTATTTTTACCGTTGATTATCGGGCAACGGTTTACCCCGTTGATTTTATTTTTTCTGTTCACAACAATTAGTCGGACCTGCTGGATCCCGTCCCGCCGGAATGACGAGATCTATCAGTGAACGTTTGTCAGAGATGGTGGCCAAGCAAACACGGATGAATCAAACCCTAGAGGAGCACAACATGCGTCTGGCAGAGATCGCCGCATCCCTGGCACCACTTACCAAGGCGCTCGTTCCGCCAGTCACGACGGAAACAAGCTTGGATATGGTTGACAACTTCACTGTATCTGCGCACAGCGGCGACGAGCAGCTGCACAACGTCACTTCCTCCTTGGCTGTGCTAAAAAAGACTCCCGCACCGCTAACCGCGGAGGAGCATTCAACGGTGGTGACTTCACTCGACGCGGCAGCATCCTCGTTCGGAATTGGACTATGCAGCTCCTTTCTCACGATGATGTCCTCGTTTAACGAAGTAGAACTGATCAGCCGGGTTGATAAGGCTCAGAAACGGTTCGAATTGAATTGTTCTCTGCCGGGAAAGAGGGCGGCAGCCACTGTAGTTGCGATGGAAGGGTCAGCCCTATACCAGTTGACCTGGATACGGACACGAAAGGCGGGCATGTCATGGGATGAGCTTACACAGGCGATGGCTCGTTATGACTCACGGTTTAAAGGCAATCACTTTGAACGACTGTCCGGAGGCAAGCAGACAGGGACTGTGGAGGAGTACATCTCAATTTTTCCTAAAGATACTGGGCAACCATCGGGAACAAATGTCAGCCGGTTTCCGGATTTCAACCTTGAGGACAAGGTTTTTTCGAAGAGGGATGGAATTGATTGAAGCAGAATTTGGGCTTGGAAGAAAAGAGAAAGAAGCCCCCGTGGGTTTACCAGAGGCGAGATGGGCTTGAGCCCACCTTCATGGGCTAGTTGCGGGCTGTTTAATTAATATTTATTCTTTTTATTTTCCCTGATTTTATTTCTATTATTTCTTTCCTATTTGAAGTTGATTAGGATCTTTATTATTCTATTTTCTTATTGGAGTTGATTAGGATCTCTAGGATTTTGTTTCCTAGTTTAAGAGTTAGTAGATGAGTATTTAAACCCCTTGTTAGAATTCATTCTAGCTCATCTTGGAATAAAATTGGTTTTAGCCTTTTGACTCTGGGCAACGGTATTTTTACCGTTGATTATCGGGCAACGATTTACCCTGTTAATTTTATTTTTTCTGTTCACAACAATTGGAAGGTGGGCTCAAGCCCGTCCCGCCATCGGTAAACCCACGGGGGCTTCTTCCCCTCTTCTTCCAAGCCCAGATTCTGCTTCATATCAATTCTATATAATATCTGCTCAATTCTTCGAAGTTTTTTATATACCAATTTGGTAAACTTTTTTTTAAAATCAATTTGGTAATTTGACTCGGGCCGGGCGGCCCAACCTGGAACCGGCCCGGCCCGATTACTGTTTGGCCCGGCCCGGGGCCCAGTGGGTCCAGCGGTTCGGTTTGACCTGGCCCGGGTGATGGGCGGTCCGAGCTCGGGCCCTGCTTTAGGCAAACCGGCCCAGCCGGTTCGGGCCCGGTCCGGGCCGGATTTTATTTTTTTTTTTTTTTGAATTTTTTTTAAGTTTTGGGTTGGATTAGGTATTTTGGGCCATTTGAGGTGGTTTGGGGTTGAGGGGGAGGGGTAGGGGGTTAAATAGGAGAACAAAAAAAATGGACCGGTTTGGCCCGGCCCGGTTTGGCCCGGAACCGGAAGGGGGCTTGAAGAATGAGACTAGGAGGCTTGGAGTAAATTGAGATTAAACTCACTTTATTGAGTATTGAACCATAGACCTCCCATACATGAAAGGAGAGCTAGTCGGCGACAAGCTGAGCTTACCTCACACCGTCACACGGAATTGCAAAAGTTGTTACGAAATGATGGCTTCCAAAGGAGAATAGATGCTACGAAGGACAAAGGCAATGACTGGAGCCGGCAAACTTTCGGTGATGAAAGGAAGAGCCCCACGCTGAAAATGGATTCTTTCATTTCTCATATCATTAGAGATGGTGAAACATATATGGAATGGTATACTTTTAACCTTAGTGAAAAGGGTAATTTTGTACTTTAATAAAATACTACATTAAAAAACATTTTTTTACCAAACACACTAACTTTCCCTTTTTTTCCTATAATCACCTCTATTTGCAAAAGCTTTCGACTTTTACTATAAATCATTTTCCAATAATCTCTTAACAAATCACTTTTTAGTAGCGTAACCATTAGCAAACATAGCCTTATTAGTTTCTGATTGCACAAATTGGCTGCATAGAGTAATACTTAATAACTGCATGACCAGTTAAATTATTATACAAAATATTTAATCATACACATGCCCCAAAAGCTCTGGCAACCTCTTCAACAACCCTCGACTGGAGGCCTAGCGGGAGGCATCCACACTGAGGATAGGGGCAACCGGGTGTTAGGAAGCCAACCAATTGTACCTCACAACACCTTAGCCGAGAACAAGGGAAAGCAGCATGTCATTCCATTCTGAAATAATTTAATCCTTGTGAGTTAAATATGTTGTACTGCAGTACTAGTAATCCTAATATAACTTCAGAAATAAACATTGACATTTTGTTTCATAACATTATCCTATTATAACTTCAGAAATAAACATTGACATTTTGTTCCATCATTTGCAATGGAGCCAAAGACTCACTATTTTTTAGCTTGGGAGTATGATGTAATAAAGCAAAATGGTTCACTAAACAGTGTGCGCTTCTTTGTTATGACGCAGCAGTCGTCCATGCAATTTGATTTTCACTATGGGCATCCGGAAACGGTCTCTCTGTGCTTTAGTACAGGGATAAGACTGCGTACATCCGACCCTTATTATCCTACCGTAGGTGGGAGCCTCCATGGCACTGGGGGTGATGATGATGAACATTATCTTATTATTCCATTTGTCCAATAAATTTATTCTCACTTTCCTTCTTTAGTAAAAGAAAAAGACACATAAAATGAACCAATCAAATGTTTTCAAAAAACAAAAACACCTTCGCACCATTACTTAGTTTTCCTCAACACTTCTTTCCTTGCAAATTTCTCATATAATCACCTCCAAATTTTCTTTATTTAGCAGTTTGTGAGTTCCAAAAAGACCCTAAGATGATAAAAGTTTTCATTTTAATGATTCTTGGGAAAAATGATCATAGCATTCAACAACAACATCACACAACATCGCAAGAGCTGTCACCCAATAATAATAAAACATGCACAGTAAAGAAAAAACAAATAGCCTACTACTCTGTAATACCTAGTGGTACAAATAGCCTACTGCTCTTGCATTTTGTGTGGCTAACACTTGTTGCAGAAACCGTTAACCATTTACCGCAAATTCCTCCACTGTCAAATTACCAAATCAGACAGTGGCTGCATGTGCTCTGCATACACACTGCTGAAATTGAGCAAATCCAAGATTTTCTTAAAAACAGAAAATCTGTTTTGAGAGATTGATTAACATGGTTGTACAAAAACAAAATGAGAAATATAAAAGTTTACCTTAGTTGTCCCAAGTCACTAGTTAAATCTTCTTCTCCTAGTTTCACGGGCAACATCATCTGGAAACCTCAACGGGGTAAATCGTCTCCTGTACGATGAAGCAGAACGAGGAAAGGACAGACTTGTAGTGGGGGGGATCAGGGTTCCCAGTTGCACAAAAGCATCAGAGTCTTCATTTCCATGAGAAGTGGAAGGAACAGATGCAGGCGAACTTATCTCAGTTTCCGCATCCAAAATCTGATGCTCCAATTGCGCAACACTATTTTCTCTTCCAAATGAGTCATTGGCTGGATCACCTGCAGTTGATGAATCCTGAGCTCTGTCCCTATGTAACAAGCGGTCAGAAATGGACGCAGCAAGGTCCTCAAATATCCGCTGCGCATTATCTAATTCTGAAGACAGAGAAGCGGCACTTTCCGATAGAACCCTTGAAAACTCATGGGAGCGCACTTGACGGCTTTCACCTGCAGTTTGAAATTCCTGAGAAGTTGTAGTCACATTCACATTAATGCCAATCGGCTCTGGTGCGTGTGGGTGTGGGAGCGGGTGCGGGTGCAGGTGTGGATGCGGCTGTGGATGCGGCTGTGGGTGCTCAGGCATTCCAATTCCAATACTAGCCCTGATTCGCCTAAGTGCTTCAGCCACCGGAATATGAGATAAACCGCGGGTCAGATGCTGCTGCCTAACACTTTCAACTCGACGTGCTTTTGGCCTTGGCGGTATTTTCGTACCAGCTTCCATTTCCATCCCACAGTTACTGCTTCCATTACAATAAATAGGAATGACCTTACCATCTGCAACCTCTCCATTGCAAACAGGACACTCCTTGACCATAGAATCAACATATGGCAACTGGAAAAAGCATGCCCAACAGTACAAGTGACCGCAACAGGTCAAAACAGGCTCCCGTGCCATGCTTAAGCATATATTGCAATCGAAAAAGGTCCCACCATCCTTGTCTCCCTTCTTCACCTCAGAATCCAAAGCCAATGCTTTTGCCACCAAATGGCTGCTGTCCCTCTTGCAGCCTCTCCCACTACCAGAATTCATACCCACCACAACACCCTCACTTGCCTCAACACCAATGACATTTTCTCCATCCAAAGTATCAGTTTCTGGAAAGTTCTGTGTGAGGCGCCACCTATGGCGTTCCCAAGCTCGAGCCGTGACAGCTTCAAGATGTCGGATTCTCTCCTCGATCCGACTATGGGCACTCTCTAAATCACTCAAGAAAGACCTGAAACCCAGACCTGAATCAGGGGGCGCTGGGTCTGAGGGTTCTTGGTTCAAATCAAGGTCCATTATCATATCATCTAAAACATTATCACCCATCACGTGTAACCTACGTCAGATGAATGTTCTTAATATGCTGTTCAAGCCCTACTCCGTGCTCCCACATACTACAACACTTCAAAAGTCCATCTGCGGAATAGAATAGCTCTTGTTACCCGAAAAGTAAGATTTCAGAAACCAAATACCAGTAAAGTAACAATCTTTGAGAATTAACTTACAATTGGACATAAGAAACTGAATGGATGCAAACAAGGGTTAAGGATGTTGTTCATCAAGTTCGAGAGTTTGATTCTAACCCGCACCAAGGATGGGAGTTCGGCTATGGAACGCCGAAAACGCAAGGGTTCATAGCGTCTGGAGCTTCTAACAGAAATGAAATTAGGGTTTCTCCCCCTAACGGAAAACAACTCGATTGGATCAATAATGGACCGATGAGAAACACCCTCAAGAGAGATATGAGAGAGGAGTATGGGATCCGATGAGAAACAGCATACAAAACTAAAACGCCGTCGTTAATTGTCATAACCAATACTACCGTATAGCACAGATACATATATGGATACGCGGAAACGGGTACAGGGATACGACAAAAAAAAATGTAGGATACGGATACGAGGCCATATTTATAAATATTAAAAGGTCTGGCTTAGGCACGATCGTGCCTGGTATAAATATTACGAGGAAGTCTGGGTTGGGAAATCCTGGGGAGCCACTGATTTGGAGGCACGATCGTGTCTGGCTTAGGCACGATCGTGCCTGGTTTGAAGAAACACCTGGGCAGCTACTGCCTTGTAGGCACGATCGTGTCTGCCTTAGGCACGATCGTGCCTGGGTTGGGAATTTTCCTGGGCAGCTACTGACTTGGAGGCACGATCGTGTCTGCCTTGGGCACGATCGTGCCTGGGTTCCAGCTGCCTGAAGTTGCCCGAAATCCCCCGGTTCGACCCCCAAACCTTGTGCAATGGTCCTAACGATTAGTAACCTTAGTTTATGGACTAATTAAGGACAGAACACTAGTATACGAGAGGTAATACCTGCAACGGAATCCGGATTAGCTTGAGCATCCGCCTCCGTCATCGCGTAGACCCTAGCCTGGGTCCTTCCTTGGTTCACGGACGGCGCGTTGCTCGCGCTTGCTCCCCCATGTCCCCGGCTTGCTTGAGAAGCCCCGGGTTGATTCCGTGTACCCGTCGGGCCACTACTTGGTCCCGATGTCCTTGCCCCGACCAGTTGTGGGCAATGCGCCTTCAAATGCCCGGCATCCCCACATTGAAAGCATCTAGGGGGGTCGCGACATTTACCGGAGTGGTTCTTCTTGCAATTGTTGCAACGAGTTACCACCGAGGTTTGTGACCTCGAGCCTTGCCCACTCGGGCCTTGGTTCCCCCTAGACGGTGGCGGTGGTGCCCGGAAAGATCCTCCTCCGTGGTTCCCCTTTTTGCTGGAACCTTGGGAGCCATGACTCTCCCATTTCCTCTTTTTCGCCTCCTCGGCGTCTCTCTTCTTCCGTTCCTCCCACTGTTTCTCCCCTTTCAATGCTTGTTCAACCACTTGGGCGAAAGTCATATTAGGCAATTGCGTTGCCCTATCACGTATCTCCAAGTCAAGAGCGTCCCAAAAGTGGTTCACCATGCGGTTCTCGTCACAAGCATACTCCGGTATGTAGTCGGCGAGATCCCGGAACTTGTACTCAAGCTCCTTCACTGACATGTTACCCCCTTGGGTTAGGAGGGTGTATTCCCTCACCTTCTTATTCACCTCGAAATCAGAATAGTATTGGGCAAAGAACTCCCGTTGGAAGTCCTCCCAAACGACGGTCTCACCGTACTTGTTCTTGGTTCCATCCCACCACTTGGATGCCATCCCCTCGAGTAATCTTACCGCAATTCTCAGTTTGAGATTCGGCGCGATTTGCATGTCAAGGGCCGCTTCATTTAGCCTCTTGATCCATTGTGCTGCCACTGAAATGTCCCCTGCTCCATCAAAGGGTTTGCACCCCAAATCTCTTGCTTCTTTGATGTATTTGGAGATCCTTATGGTTGGACCCCCATCATTTTGGCCTCCACGTGGTTCCACATGGACTCTAGATGCACCATGACTTCCTCCTCGTGAAGCCATGCCCGAAGGTTGCCCAGCCCGGCGCCTTCGGCGTTCCCTCCTCTCTTCACGCTCACGGTGATATTGTTGGAGTAGTGCCTCAATCCGCGCTAAGGAGCCGTTGTCCTCCTCATCACTTACATCATCATCATCCCCTTCATAAGGGGTTTCAACCGGCTCTGTTTCCGGCCGATAGGTCGAGTCCTCATAGGACCAGTAGCTGTCACTTTCGGTGCTCACATGACCGTCACTCACGGTCCGTGATTGGCCTCCACGGCCCGCTCCTCTAGATGCCCTAGAGGTCCTACGACTGCCTTGCCCAGTCTCCTCGGGTGCACGGCCCAAAGGGTTCCTCCTAGTTACCTTGCCACCACGGTCCATTTCTAAAAGAAATTTGGAAAGAGCCGTTAGACTCGTATCAAATGTCAATTGACGGATAGGTACTTAAGACACATTTTGGCTCGAGTCACCGCCATACCAATTGCTAAGGGTACCATCTTAACAATTAGAGACCTTGCAACCCAAGTACCAAAAGCTCTCCAAGTACAAAACTTCTATGCTCATGGTTTTCAAAATCTTTTCAAAAAGAGGATTTTGAGACTTCATTGTGAAGTTTATGGACTAAGGCTCTGATACCAACTTAATTGTCACGCCCCGGACCTCCCCGGACACGTCAACAACCCGCCGTACAATACGAATAGTCAACCGCAGTCCAACACATTCATATTATACAAGGCGTCATGAATATCATTCACACATAAGTCATCCATAAACATACATAATAAACAATTGAATACGCAGCGGAAAACATTGTTTAAAACAAAAGGGCCACACAGGGCAAACATGAGCACGCAGGCTCTAAAGTAAAATATCCATGAGCAAGTTTAATATTATTTAAAAACAGAATGGAGGAAGCACGAACCAAGTCTTCTCTCCAAGGAATCACTCGATCAACGAGCACAGGAAGCAAGCTCTAGCCTCAACCTGAAATTGTGGTGGGACGCCCCCGAAGGGGTCAGTACTCTATACGGCTATAAAGTACTGGTGTGGCAGGCATCTAATAGATATACAACAAGTATTTCAAACACAAGACCCTCAAGTAGGGTGATAGTACATTATGATTGTAACCCTAAGTTACCCCGTTTAAAAATATACTTACTTTATATAAAAGTCAAGTAGTCGGCCCGTGGGCCCGTTTTCATTTGGAAATCACCATTCCCAACCCCGTGGCTATAAGCCACGACAACTCCTAGAGTCCAACCCTAGTACATGACATTGTATTCTAGAGCTCGGCTCTACCACATCACCATACAATTCATATACCTCGGGTCAAGTTCCTTACCTTGCGTTCTAGAGCTCGGCTCTACCACATCACCACGCAAGTACTAGAGCTCGGCTCTAGCTATACAATACATAGACTCCAAGTCTACCCTTACATGCATTCTAGAGCTCGGCTCTATCACATCACCATGCATTAAGGTCCAATTCTCAAGCAACCCTATGCCTAGAATTGACGTATCATTAAACTACCATGGGTCATCCTTAAAGACTTCCCATAACTTAACCTTAGTTCCATACTAAGTTATTATATACACTTGAACTATATTCAAGCACCTTTCATACAATCCAATCCCTAGGATCAATTTAATCAATAAATCCCAATAATCATTAACTAGTATTTCAATACTATTAAGATTATTGCTATCAAACCATTATCCTTGTTATTTGTAATTCTCTACATATTTATAATTATGTAGCAGCAACTTAAACATTCATTCTCAATACACAAATATTCATTTATGTATCCACATAATTCATACATGAGAAAAATGCCCATTTTCACAAATAGTTCATTTATACTCATTTAATCTCATATTATTCATACCTTCTCAAATCATTTCAAATTTCATTCTTTGGCAACTATATCAATATTTCATCAATATATAATCATCATAATCCATGAAAAATCATGATTTAAGCATTTAGGTAATCTCATGCTTAACCTACAAGTTGTAAGCAATTAGATGTCAATCCTCACCTCAAATGAGCTTTAAAACCTTCCTTCTCGATCCAATGGCTAAAGCCTCGGCCAAGAAAGCTTGAGAACTGATTCCTTGCTTAGAAATGGGTGCTAAACAGCCTCCTCAAGTTGCTATTTCAACCCCTAATCGTTGATACGAAAACAGCCCCTAGAACGGGTGTTTTCCGGCTAACTTGATTCCTAGTTTTCCAATATTTGCATCTAGGTTAGTATCTAACCTTTACATCAATAAAATAACTTAATAGGGATGTTTTATACACTTGGAGTAGTGTATAATAGTCCCACCAATCGTTCATATCATTTGGAAAATGAATGGAAAGGTTTTGGGATTAAAAACTCACTTAGAAGAGTAAATCCGTCCCTGCGAGGTCGCGTTCTGCTCGGACGATTTGGAAGCCTTCCTCTACTCCGATTGATGCAAACCAGACCTTCACGGATTCCTCGTCTTGAGAGCTTTCTTTTGGTATCTCACACGCCTTAATTGGATTGGTAAAACTCGAGATATCAACCAAACAGTCTCAGCACTCTCACAGCTCGAGTTCACAGACCACTGCTCGTTCCAGATCGATTTTTGTACGATAAGCTCTCTCTCCTCGAACAAAGGCCACTCAATTATGAAACTACACTTCAAGAGCTATCCAAGGACACCTCATACACGTTATTTGGTTGAGGATAGCTCCTATAATGAGTGGAGACAACCAGCACACCATTTTGTGCGAAAATAGGGATGGTGGCCCAACATTTGATTCCTATCAAGTCTTGTGCAGCTCCTCCCCATGGTGGTCGGCCAAGGTAAGTTTCCTAACCCATTTTTATTTGTCTTGCAGGTACTAATATCATGTGGAGTGGTTCCCAATTGATCCCAATCATTTTGGGATCCAAATTATCTACCAATACTTCCAAAAATGGGGAAGATGGGTCCTATTGTTTTATCTTTTGTCAAAGATGTCTTTTTGTACTCATCCTAATTTATTTAGCACAAGTCAACTTCCTAAATCACATTATTGATCTCCAATATGTGTAGGCTCATCCCAATAATTTACACGATGAAAATTACAAAAGAATGCGGGTTTGAACAATACAATATTCAATCATGTACTTCGTAAAATATTAATCGTTTCTTCCATTGCTTTGAAATCGGAAATTCAATACATCACTTTTGAATTTTTAAATCGAATTTTCAAGGACGTTCGGGTGCGGTGTCACAAGTTCACCCCCCCTTAACAGGAATTTCGTCCCCGAAATTCACAGCTCTACTCGAATAGGAAAGCATACTGCTTCCTCATCAAAGCCTCAGTTTCCCATGTCTCTTCCTCGACCCGATCGCTCTTCCACAGGACTTTAACCATTGGGACTTCTTTGCTCCTCAGC